CTGGGTTCGGCGTGGTAACTCGTGGCCGACACGAACTCGACTGACACGGCTTGACCGATGCACGGTTTGGAACGGTGCCACGGTCACTGACGCAGGGGCATGCTTGGACCACGGCTAACGGAAACAGCGCGTAAACGGGTGATCGGATGGACTCGGTGAACGGGCACGCACTCAGTGGTTTGACTCGGACTCGGTGCACGGGCACGCACTCGGCGATTCGGCTCCAACGGTCGGACAAGAGTCGAGCACGTGTGCGGGGCGACGATACGCATTACGAGTTAACGATACGACGACTAAAGATTATCCAGACGGTACTAGGGTTCAGGCATTTAATAATCGGATCCGAAAAAATACCCGGTTATCAGAAGCGGATAAAACTAGGGTTTCGATTCTCGAAAATCCTAACTCAATTAAGGCCGATAATTAATATATATTTTATGCGATTTATATTGATCTTAAAATCAACAACTGCAGCTAAAATCATATCCGTCTAATTTTTCTAAAATACCGCATTCCTCAGCTAAAGTCCCGATCGTATAACTAAGTCAAACGGTATCCAAAATTTATGAATTTCGAATCGTAGCATATTCAATATACTAATAGTCAATGGTTGACACATCGAGCCAAATGGCAACTCCTAACCTAGTCAACTCACAATTGCTACGACCGGTCAACGCATTTGACCGACTCGTTTAACTACCAAACGAACCCCAAATCTTATAAAAATCGCACTTAAGCCTCAAGACAATTTATTATGATTTATCGAATTTAAATTATAATTTTATGACTTGTATTCAAGGGATCGAAAAATCGATCGTTCCAAGCTCGATAAATCCCGGTAAATTCAATAAACACTCAAATCCTCATATATTCATTTTATAATTATCCATTCATCATAATAAAGCCATTGGAGAAGGATTCAAGCCAAAGTACCTAACCGGGCTCGAATCAGAGGTCGAAAAGATGAGAAAACCAAGTAAAAATGATCGGTGAAGAGAAACCGGGTCGTTGATGCTCAAACGGGTCGAACCAGAGTAAATGTAAAGCGGGTCAACTCTGTTCGAGTTGACTGGGTCCGAGTTAAGGGCAAGTCGGAAGATTTGGGCCGAGTCGACTCAGTGAGTCACAGATCACGAGTTAGGCACCGGGTTTGGTTCAGCTGGTCGCGGGTTAAGCCAGGTTCGCGTGTCAGGGTCAAGGAGGGTGCGAACTGGGGCTAAAAGAGGCTGAAACCAGCTGGGTTTTGGAGTAATTCGACTGGTCCAGGTGCAGCTCGACCGAGAATGGTTCAGGTCTCAACTGAGATGGCTCAGTCGCAGTCTGCTCGGGCTGGAGAGCTCGGTTTTGAGGCACGGGTCTTGCGTCTGGTGCAGCTGGGCCACGAAAATGGCTCGTCGGTCACGAATTTGGGTAGCTCTATGAAGGACGTGAGCAGGGTCGTGTGGGCTTGCTGGAACCGGCGTCGGGCGTAACTCGTACGGACGGAGCTTGGCCTTGGCGCGAGGATGGTCGGCAGGAGCTGCTGGGACCGCGAGGAAGAGGGTGGACTCAAGCAGGCGGGTTTGGCAGCACAGACGGGGGCTTAGCTCGCGGTGGGGCTGAGCTCGGGGTGGCGTGAAGGAGGCGCGATGGAGGACTCGCGATTATCAGCGTCGGCTCGCTGAAAAAACAACCGGATTTGAAGGGGTTGTGGTGGAGAGTGATGGTGGCTAGGGTTTATGGGTGTTGGAAGATGAAGTATATGTATATATAGTGGAGAGAAAAAATAGGGTTTGTGTTGAATTTGGGCCCAACATTGGGCTTTAGGATTTCTCTACTTGGGCTTAAGAATCGAGCTAGTAAATTTATTCGACTTAGGCTCGATTAAATTGAATATCGACTAGGGAATTAAATGCTCGGAACTTAGAATAAATTAATTTAATCGATCCAAAATAATAAAGTAATTGGGCTCGATTAACTAAAACAAAATGGGCTGGCTAAAATAATTGGACTCGCTCGAAATCCATTGGGCTCGGTTTTAAAAATATGACTGATACTTGGGCTTGATAAATCTGACTTTAATAATTAAAATCGAATAAGTTCTCCATGGCTTAGACTTTAATGCTAATTATTAAATTTAATGCAATTAATAATAATAAATGCATCAAATTAGGAAATTTAATATTTATAGAAATAAAGTCGAGCTCTATAAATAGTAAATAAAAATTCTGGGCGTTACACGTACAACTTGGAAAAGGGAACCTCTCGTCCGAGAAAAACTTCACGATTCTTTTCTTATCCTCTCTTTTTCTTCTTCTTCTTCGTTCGTTACTTTTCTTCACTTTTCTTCTTCATATAATTTTTTTCTTCATTTTTCCTTCTTCTTTTTCTAGTTATTTTAGGGATTAAGCTTGTAACTTTGGATTCAACACTCAAATTGAAAATCGTAAGTTCTTCTTTTCTTTATTTTTAATTCATGAAAAATGATTGAATTAAGAGAGATTATGGATTGTATTGAATTAATTTTACGTAGCTAAATCTCAGTGCTAGGGATAGGGGAATGATTGTTCTTGTTTAATTCGTATCTGTCGGGCTTCATTTGTTCATGCTTATGTGAGTTGTATTGATTAGGAATTGATGAATTTGAGCTTGATTGATTGATATAATCGAAGAGTGACACTTCGATCCTGCAGTTGGAAACAATTGAATGTTAGTTTGTCGAGTTAGGATTTGTCAATTTTATATGATTAGTTGATTAATTCTCTTCTAATTTAATTAGCGACTTTTAGAACCGAAAAGGAAAAAGTCGTAGACTTAGGCTCGCATGAGGTAGATGATTTCGTAACTGAATAATATATGTGTTTTGGATTGTAATACGCACTTGTCGATGACTCGTCCTTTGTTACGAAAAGTTATCAGGATTGGGATAATTGGCCTGTACCAAGAGTTATTGGGAGCGAACCGCTAGATGTATAAGCGAGAGTGTCAATATCGAGCTGAACAATTGATAGCCTGATTTTGCTAGAACTTGAATTAATTATCCCCGATTCCCTAGCTTCTCCATCTTTATCGCGTTTATATTTTTAGGGGAATTTACGCTTTTATTATTTCTTTATTGATAGTTATTCAAACCTCCTTATCTGATTAGTGTGATTAGGAGTTATTTTGCTTTTACGTGCTGTCAATACTAAAGCTGAATACCGAACCGCCTTCCTCGTGAGATCGATCTGGGGAACGAATCTTTTGATTCGGTACTCAGTAAAAAGAATAATTTGTGCTACAACAAATTTTGCGCCGTTTTCGGGGAAGGCAAGTAGGATATTAGTTTTGGTATTGATTTTATTTTTCGTGTTTCTCTTTGTTTGCTTCTTTGTTTTTGTTTTTGTCTGTTCTTCTTTTTTTTTTCCTTTTCGTGGCTACGTGTGGTTTGTTCTGCTTTG